TCCCCTTCAATTTACGCAGGTTATCAATTGTTTGGGCAGTCTTTCAAGATGATCAATCTCAACTGGGGCGAGTTTGGTGGGCCTTCTTGTTGGATATAGATCTATTTTGAGCAGAGTTTTGCACTCCACAAACACAACTCCCCTCCAGTTCCCGCAGGTTATCAGTTGTTCGGGAAGTCTTTCGTGATGCTCAAACGCAACTGGGACAAATTTGGTAGGCCTTCTAGGATTGTGGACCACTGAAGTTCGCCGGCATCCGAACTACGAATGCCGCACGATGCTATAAATCTCTAGAAAATTGGAGCTTTGGCAATTCAACCAGAAACGAAGTTCGCCAACGCCGCATGGTTTCGGTCGAAGTTCGCCGACATCCGAACTTCATGCAACGCGGCAAGGGCCGTGTGATTTGCTGTCGCTGTCGACACGAAGTCGTCATTTTCAGAAAACGAGAGAGAACTGCAAATCCATCTGCGCAAATGCGAGAACTGAGTGTTCCAGGCTAAGTTATGCAAAGATAATTTTCGCGTTCACAACTTTGATGTACCGCACTGCCCTTCCCGCAGTCTTCGAAGTTCGGATCCCAACAAACTTAGGTTATGCCCTCACGCTGCCATCAACACCCGTGAAAATCATAGTCGCGTCGAGGCCCGCGCAAGGAATGGTCGCATGACGTGTGTTCCCTTCGCAAACATTGTTCTCATTGTTCGACGGGAGGTGTTGGAGAGCTTTGTGTGCAAAGTTCATTGTAATCCAAACTTCTTGCTTTCGAAACGACGTAATGAGGCCGACGTGTGCAGCACAAGGTTTCTCGCCTGCGTTTGTGATGCTTCATTACAGCCTGCATTGTGGTTTGACTGTCTCTGGACTGTTTTTGCTCTCGTTTGCCCAAAACTGACCGCGTGGTGGGTTGCTTCATTTGCGTTGTCGTCCGCATACACATTGTGTTCGTCGAGGGGCGAGGGGGAGCCTGTCGGGACTTTCGGGAGGGAATCAGAAAAAGATTCCACAAGACGGCCGTCTATGGCCTCGAATTCGTGGTCGGACCGCACAAGGTTGAAATGGTTCGTCGACTGGTGTTGTCACTGTTGTGGAGATACTTCGAACCCCGTTAAACAGCCATGTGGTCCTGTCATCTTCGTCGACACCAACAAGCGGCGTAGGGTGCTTGGGGCCGTCTTGCGGTGGCAGGATGCGAAAGGAAGTCGCCGACGGTTCTATATGAAAACTGTTTACGGTGCGAAGGGCAATGTCGTCGTCAATTTCAAGGGGGCGCTGTTGGACATGGATTTGTTCGAGGGGTTCAGAGGGGGTGTTGTGAACACATCAATCTACAACAACCTCTTTCGGCAGGGCGGGTTTGTTTTGGCTCGAGAGTTTTTTAACTTGTTGGAGGAGAAGGACGCCGGCCTCGATGTCCCCTGCGACGTCGGCCCCTCCCAGGTGCTGTCAATGCCCTTGCAGTTGTGCGGCAATTGTGAATCCAGCGGGGCTGTGCTGGAGGGGGGGGATCTGGGTTCTGGTGCAGCTACTCAGCTGCAACGGGGGGAGAGCCGCGGTAAATTTGACTATAGCGAAGATGAGGCAACGCCACTAACGACGTATTCGTTGTTGAGGCAAAGAGACCGGTCTGTGTTGTCTATACCTGGGGTCTAGCGAGCTGCTCCGGTTCAAGAGGAGGTTGTTGTGCCTCCCGGAAAGGCGGCAGTCCACTCTGAGATCCGCTTGGAGATTGTCGAGGGCTGTGGCACGAAGGACGAGACCGTGGGTGGAGAGGGAACGCAAGGCACTCCGCAAAAGAGAAGGGGAAATCGTCAAGACGACATGGTCGGCTCTTCGAAGAAACAGAAGACCATGGCCTCGAAGAGTGTGAGGGAGAAACGAAAGGGAACGGGGGGGGAACAGGGCCGCCCGGGTAGTAAACGCCTGGCTTTGAAACAGAAGCAGCCTGCGTCGGGACCTCCTTGCCACAGCCTCCCATCGATGTCGATGGAGGGTACTTCCTAGAGTACAAAGACAGCGTCAGGACAAAGCGGGAGTTCGAGATTAGCCCGGCTCAGGTCGTCGACCTAAGGAAGTGGGAGGATCTGTACAACCAGCGGTCCCTTCTCGTCCTCGTGGAGGGGATCGAAGAAGCGATGCGGTTGGCGTACGACAACAAAGAACAGTCGTATGAGTTACAAACCCTGAAGCTCGCACCACTGGGGCTTATGGACCAGGTCGTACGTTTGAAGCCAGAGGACTGGAAGGACGAGCTGGCGGACCAATACTACTACTACGCAATGTGTGGGCAACACAACGCGGCTGCCGCCAGGTCACTGCTCGGCAACGAGGTGGCCAAGAAGTACAATTTCGAGAGGTGGCCGACACGTATGGTGTACTTTTTAGACGACGACTTCAAAGGGTATTTCCTTGTTAGTTCCCAGGAGAACAAGAAGGACCTCAAGGCATCTCCTGGACAGTTGAAATTGTCCATGAAAGACATTCGGTGGTACTGGAAGCATGACGGTTTCCCTGGAGTCATTATGGGGAGCCCTATCGGGAAACAAAAAC